ACTTTATTCCTTTTGCCAAACACACCTTAGATGTACATTGATACATATTTATGTCTTTTAAGGTATAAATTAATATTTTTAAATTTTGAGAGTACAAATTGAGATTCGACATGATGCAAGTTGAGATTGACCCTACTTCAAACTATTAAATCCATCCCATTTATATAAACTCACTCCATCTATATTCATTAATTAAAAACTAAATTCATTCAATTTTATTTTAACCTACTATATAAACAATGATCAAAATTTTATTTCGATGTATTATTTTTGGTATAATAATATTTTAGAAGTAAAAAAAAATTTAATAATTATTTTAAAAATATTAGTCGAAATATATTAAAATATCCTTAAAAGGCCTCAAAAAATTTCAAAGACAATAGTGAAAATTTTCAAAACACTTCAAAATAATATAGATGACATTGGAATATTAAAACTTCGCTTGAATTACTATTTTTTTTCAATTTATTTGACATATATTTAATAATAATTTAATTAAATGAGCATAAATATAGTGAATTTAGTAACTAATGAGGTGGGTATAGATGGAATAAAGTTAGTAATTTGAAGTAAGATGATTAAATTTTCGCCATTGATGAATTCGTTTGGGGATAGAAATATGGATAAATCTTGTAAATGCCCCTCAATTATCTTTATTTTAAATTATTCTCTAAACTTTCAATTAGCTTAATTTATCATTTAAATTATATAATATATTTCAATCACCCCCTTTCACTAAGATTAACAATTAATTTTAACATAATTTATCTTATTTAATGGTTAGCTTAACAGAATTTGTCTTGTTTATCAATTAGTCTCAACAGAAAGGATCAATTAAATCAATTTACTTAGCTTATGGGATAAATTAGGATAATTAGAAGTTTAAGGAATAATTTAAAATAAAGGTCATAGTTCAGGGACATTTATGATATTTAACGCTAGAAATAAATCTAAAACTGGCCCAAATAATCTTTCAAATCATTGTACCCATGGGTAAAGCCCAATACATAATCAAGATTTGCAACATACCAATCATCAGTAATGTACATGTGTTTTACAATTTGAGGGAAGATTATCAAATCATTTTTATTTTGTTTCAAAAATAAAAACTAAATTGATAGCACTTTATCAATAAAATGTTGTGGAGCGATGTCATGTGTTCACCTATTTAAGCAATACGTCCTGAATTTGAACATGAGAATTAACCTTTCAAATATTAGATTAAGCTTGTTTATTATTTATATCTCTTACCATAGTTAGACGCTTATTTTCTCCAGTAAACATCTCCATTGGATACACGTATCGATGTTATAGATAGTTTCACTTGAATTTTCTACTGCCAATTTAGGTAGGCCTCAAACACTCCTAAGACTAGGACGACCCAAGAATATAGTGTGCAATCTTTGTACTTGCACAAGACAATTGTGTTATACCACATCATCAATAGGACACCACTCAAGGCCGCACTTATGGCAGCTGTAACAAAAAGAAATATGTTGATCCGCATGGTTTTCAGTAATTTTTTTAAAAATTGAGAACTTGCTCGTTCTTACTTCTTAAGGATACTCGTTTCTTTGCAAAGTTTATAATTTTTTTAGCACCTATGTAAGGTGAGATACGGAACATTCTATGTACCATATTGCTTGGTCATAAAAAATTCCTTTTGATTTTTTAAACTATTAATGTATATATTTTTTTATATTTTCTGCTGAAAATAGTTCATTCTGAATCCCAATTTAATGTGAATCAACTTAACTATCGTTTATGTTTGAAAAATTGAACTTAATTGCATAATTTAAGTTGAAAATCGAGTTTAACTCTAGTTGGATTTTTAAGTTACACAATCCAAACTAGACTTCGAGTTGGACTTACATTGAATAACAGTTCATTAATTTGGGTAAAATTTGAATTGGACCGTGTAAGACCCCAAATCAATTTTAGATATATAATATTATCATACTTTTAAAATAATTAGCAATGCACCACGTGGGTTGCACATGAATAATTTTGTACAAAAAAATAATAAAATATTATATATATATATGTGTGTGTGCGCGCATGTGTGTGTGTGTAAATTAAATATTTTCTCAAATTTATCAAACTTAATTTTTCGTTGTTCATATTTTGTTTTTGTGTTATGAAAAATTTATATGTTCCTACAATTCTTTGTTAAAGTTCTTTTTTTTTTTTAAGAATTTTGTAATTGAGATTGATTTTTTAGTGATGTTTGAAAAATTAAATTTTTTGAAATTCATTTTATTAGGATTCCACTTTCTTGAATAAAATAAAAGTAATTGTCAATATACTACTAATCATTTTGGAACCTTACTATAATTAGGAATTAGTTAGGTGAATTGAGATAAAATTTAATATACTACTCTATAATATATATTATCAAGCACATTAAAATTCTAAAAAATTTAAATTTTTACTTAAAAATACTCTACAATCTATTTTTACACAAAAAATTATTATAACTTAAAAAGTTTATTGCGAATGAAGAATTATACTAATGTAATATAAATTAATTTTAAAAAACTATATATACGATTATTTTTTATCTTATAAATGAAAAAGGTTAAATATTTCAATGACAAAGAAAATAGACATATGTAAGTATAATATTATCTTTGCATATGCGATGAATAATATTATATTGATTGAGTTTTTGAAGATTTTTTTTAATATTGTATTAAAAATATAATGGTGCATATTATTTTAAGGGTTATATATTCAATTTTTTTATTTATAAAAACTAATATTTATACATAGAGAATAAGTAATTAAAAGATATGTTATAGATAATTAAGAAATTTAAATATATAAGGATAAAATTATAATTTTAATATTTAATTATGAAATGATAAAGTAGTCTTGTAATTTTTTATAAGGGTAAAATAGATAATCAAAAAAATTTTATGTTAAGATACTTTTATTAGTAGTATATATATAATGATGACGACATATTGGTTTTTAGGTCAAATTTATTTTTCGGATGTATTTATGCTTGATAAAGGTAACTAAGAAGATTTTTAAAAACATTTGGTTCAAATAATGTTCCCATTGAATCTGGGAGGTCGCCAAACCGTAGGATAGACATTCGACTTGTATAATGGTTCGGATGGGTGAGACGGTAATTTTGGTATTTTGAATATTTTATTCTTTAAAAAATTAATAATGGTTATTAATTGAGATATTGTGATCCAAGGTGAATTTAAAAGTATACCAAGATCACTTAATATGGTTTTGAGGTTTGAGGTTGAAAAAAAGAAGTTTTTAGGTGTTTCGAGGCTTAAATACACTTTAAAAAAAATTTGGATATGAAGGAACTTGATACTACTTCAGTATTTTTGTCATGACTCTTTATCCTGATATTTGACTAAGCTAATTCTCATGACATTCAAAAGAAGATAAATAATTTGTTAATCGATCTTTGTCTAGCTAGGTCAAAATTAGGTTTGAAGTTTGGGACAGAAAGTCTTCCACGTCTCGATGAAAAAATAACACCATCTTAATGAGCCTCAGAAACTTTTAGCAGAGATTTGGGTTCATCCGGACACAAAAATCTGCATGTGAACGAGCATGGAAACTTGGCTCCAATTAGTTTTGAGTCGTTAACCTAATTTATTGAGATAAGTTTTAGGGTTTCTTTTTACGAGTTTCAACCCTAATGAGCCTAAGAAATTAGAGGAAGAAGAAGAGATCTGGACAGATATTGGAGGAATCATTGCATTGAAAACAACTTAAGGCGTGGTAGGATCAATTTTTACGAAATTAAGGTAGGTCTATTATGTATATAATTTTTTCCCTTTCCTATTCATTGATGCTATAACTATTATGTATATAATATTTTTCACTCAAATCTGTATAAATACTATAGATTTATAATTTTTTTGAATTTCTTGCAAAAATATGATTCGTTTTTGTTGAAAAAAATACCAAATTTACATCCAATTAGCGTTTTCAGTTCATAACCCCTAAATTTTGAATAATGTATAATTGAGAATGTTTATTCGTGATCTAATGCACGAGTTATTGGAATTCTCGATGCTTTAAGAATTGTAAAAATTAATGTTTGTGATATACGTGATCTATTTGAAAAGCATGATTAAATCACTTGTATTGAAGGGTTTGATGAACTTGGATGTACTCAAACTTATACCGAAGAGTGTTAAGATATTTTTCTTATCGAAAGCAGTTTGAATGTTTCTTATCACTCGTAATGGGATATTGGTTCCTTGCAAGATTTCACTACATTCGAGTCTGAGCGTTAATATACTACTCTTTGAACGATTTCATTAAATACTAATGCATCACTATACGTGCTCCTTAAACCTGTATAGTCGAGAGGGGTGGAACAAATATAGTCGGTGTGTGAATTATTGTCAATCAACCTGTATACTTGAGATTTTTTCTGTTACAATTTGTTTATTATCTGAGTGATTAATTTTATGATGAAATTTGTTTATATGTATCGAAATTTGAGATCATTGTTAATGTCACTTGATTTATTTCTAAAACTATATATATTTATTTTGTAAATTTGAGACTTATCTATTTTTATATATTTTCTAAACATTCGTTTAGGTTTTGGAAAATTTAACATTTTTTCAATTTGGGTGTTGATGTTGATACTAACATAATTAAGCATGTGGATTTGAATTTTGAACAAATTATAATGTGATTGATTATTAGAAGATCAAATTGAAATATCGATAAAATTGTGAGGTTAAAAAGTACAACTTATTAGGGAAGTAAGTTTTTTAAGGAAAGAAACAGAGCAAGTGTGTCACGTGACAGCCGAGACTCCTTAATCTTCAATGACATCAGGCTTTGAAAGGTTACATTACACCACGTGTACCAACAAGACATCATCAGACATCAAGTACCATGACTTTCAGTCCCAAAAGCACACAGTCCGTCGCTTTAACACCGCTAGTTTCGCTTCCTCTGACACTAGTTCAAGCCATTAGATTTACCCATCTCAACAACTAGGTTTGGTTCAAACTAGGAAAACTGTGGGTCTCCTTTTCCTATCCTCCTTCTACTTTCACAATCTGATACTACTCTCTCTCTCTAAAGATATATATATATCTGTCTCTATATCTTTATCATTGATTTGGGCAGGCTTTGTTCTGTGGATTTCATTCTCTGTTTGGAAAAAAACTTTTTCTTTTTTTCTGCTAGGCAAGAAAGCTACATACTTGGTTAGGTGGGTAAAGAGAAAGATGACTGGAGAGTTTTCCGGCAAGGCGCCGAAGGCCGGCTCCGGCGAGGGCTGCATAGCACTCCTACGGGGTTTAGGGCGTGAAGAGATTTTGGAGGTTTTGTCTGATGGGTTTTGTCAGCACTGTGAATCTCTTTTGCAGACTCGTATTCAGAATCTGATTGACGGTAAAAATCCTTCTATTTTCTCTCTCCTCTCTCTCTCTGTCTCTCTCTCTCTATATATATGTATTTATGTATCTATATATATTGTACACAAAAGGGGAAAGTCTACCCAAAGAAACCGGTTGGTTATCACTTTTTATGATAAAGTTATAACTTTCAAAAAGAGAATTTATAATTGTTGATCAATGACAGGCACTTATGAACGATCATAAACTCTTGGTATCAATCTCAACTTTCCATAATTGATCATACTCTTTAACTTAGATTTAAAGGAGGCGAAATCCAATTTTTAAAGAAGAGTGAAATTCGACCATTAGAGATTTGAGTAAAAGTTTGAGCTTCATTCAATTGGTATGAGTTTAAGAAAAGGATTAGAGCTTGTTGGCCTACTTATAGCTGTTGTTTTACTATATGCATTGGGAATAGACTGCTCGATTGACTTGTCTGGTGATTAGTCTGGTGGGTATTTTTTTTTTTGAAAGGTGGCTTATACAATCAAATTGAATTTAGCAAGTTGTTACTGTAGAACTCACACATTCACAAGAAGAAGGATCGAAATTGAGTAGGCAAAACTCTTCAGAAGCCTTGTTTGAGATACAGAAGAGATGTGTTAAACAATATATATGGGTGAACCTCTGGGTCTAAGTTAAAAAAAAAAAAAACAAATTCACATTGTAATAATGGAAGCATGAGCTATGGTGATTGTACACAAAAAACTTCCTAGCAACTCTTTTGAATTTTTAACTTCTCGAAACGATCATGTCAGCCTGCATTCTTACTTTGAATGTGAGAAAATGCGTTAATTAATGTTAAAGTCTCGGGTTTAACAAATTTTGTGATGTTATTTGTGTTTTCTGTATATGAGTTCACTTGTCTATGCAGATATTTATTAAGAAGATAATAAATTGTTTTTGAATGAATAATTTCCATTATGGTTGTGTAATATTCTATTTTTTTTTAATGTCCATCCTTTTGTTTGGAAAATTAAAATGTCTTTATAATCAACAATTTGAAATTAGGATTCTGGCATTGGCTTTAACTAGGTTTGATGTTTTACTCTAATCAGTTATCAAATCAATCAACTATAAAGAAGGCAAACAGTCTTATTCACAGTCACTGACCTCATTTGTTTTCAAGTATATCTAGTTGGTGTATTTTTTCGAGGAAAGATAAACTTAAGCTGTCGAGGATTTGCCAACTGTTCCCAAACTCAGAAGGAAAAGACAAGAAATACAATGGGTATCGTATGCACCGAGATTAATGTGGTGTGCCAAAGGCATTATTTGTGTAAACTATAGAGGAACTACATATATTCCATTTGAACACGAGCATGTGTTTATATTTTCATTTTCTATGTATGGGAACTTTGTAGGTTTCAGGTAACTTTGAATAATTTATTGACACGAAAAATCCGATTCTATGGTCTTACATTCTATAGTTTGATATATCTTCTTTGGAAGCCAATAATAATAAAAGTCATATCTAGTGCACAAGGCTGCCTGAGGGATCCGAGCCATACCACCGCATTTCAAGGCACCACTATGCCTTAACTATTTCCTTTCAATTTTGCAGGAAAGCTTAGCAAAATGTCGATATCAAACGGTAACAATACAGAAGAATTCTCTGACTCCTGGTCTGCAGACTCATCAAGCTTGGGTTTATCGGGAAGAGATATACAGTCTTCCACTAAGAGTACTTCATGGGGTTCTACACAAACCCCAGAATCTGTTTACTCTGGAAAGCGGAAAGGATTTGTTTCCAGTTCATCACCTGCATCAGTGAGCAAACAGCCATCGATCAATCATTCAGGCTCTGACATATCACTTAATGATGGACTTGGTGGAGTTTCCTCAAATGGTAGTAATAGTAGTATGTCAGAGGAACAGAAGGAGCATATCAGGTTCTTACAAGTTGGTAGGAAGAAGGATTTTGTAAATATTGAGAGGATTGATGGGAAGCCAACAAATATACTTCAAGGACTTGAGCTTCACACTCAAGTTTTTAATGTTGAGGAGCAAAAAAAGATCGTTGAATGTGTTTATGATTTGCAGCATAGGGGACAAAAGGGGCAGCTTAGAGGTGCATATTCTAATGCCTTTTCTCAGCGCCTTTCCTTATTTGTGTTTAGTTCCAATTTAATGCAGTGCTTTTTAACGTTTAACTGTCCAATTAATTCATTTCCTCTGAACTATTGCATGTGTATGGTCACAGAAATTTAAACAAAAGGACAAATGTGAACATCTATAGATATGGAATTCTAGAAAGTAACGTGAGCATTACTTTGTGACAATCATAAACAGTCAGCCCTTGGTTGTTGCATGATATTCCATAATGGCATAAAAAATTTACCTCCACCTTGATGCATTGCATGTCCCATACACTTGTAGAAAATAAAGAGACGTCAACTTATAGTAAAAAGTGCACGATGTTATCAATTGCTTTTGAACGATTATGAACACTAAGCCCATTTTGACCTAAGCATGCAGTTTTCCGATGTTACTGGCGAATGAAATGAGCACATGTGCTCGCATACGACTTTAATGAGTTCATTGTGTTTTTTAGCATTTAGATGATTTAATGTGTTGCCTCAAGGTTTGTGCAGATAAATGGCCATTAGCTGTGACATGGTGGACATCATGCAAGATACTGTTCATGCAAGAGACCAGCCGATTATTGGTTATAGTGATGACTATTTATTGTGCTCTACACACTTATGTGACATTACTATTCATTATTTAATAAACGACCAGTTTACCTAGTACCCACAAATGTCCTCATTTAATTAGAGCTATTATTTCATTTGTCTATTTTAAACTGAAATGATTCCTACCGGCATAGCCATATGCACAGTTACGTCCTTTCTTGTATTGATGTCATTTATTTAAATGATGGTATTGGACAGTGTTATTATACCAGCGAGACGAGGAAAAATCCACTTTTGAATGGGGACTTGCACATCTATTTTATTCCTTCTCTTTTGGCAATGAAGCTTTGTAATGTGCATGTAGGATACCTTCCGATACTTTGCGCTATTCAAAATCTGCAATTAAATACCTCGATATTATTTAAAACTTAAGGGTCTAGTGATATGCGAATGGTTTTAGCTGCCAAAAATCACTGAAATACATTCATAAAAAGGAAATTTATCGAAGTGATGGTTGAAGACCTGAAGTTGTACTTGTGGCATATTACTGGTTAAATATTAAACATGGGTTGTTCTAAGGTTTTTTAAAACTACATATATAATGCTCTTACTATTTTGATATATTGTACGTATTCGATATTTTGGGCATTCTTCTACTTGGACTTCTAATCAACGTGAATCACATGTGTTCATCATGATATTGTTTATGTTGTTTGTTGATCAAACAAATACTCTGTCAGTTTGTCTCATTTTTCTTTTAAACTTTTTGCAGCACGAACATATTCGGAACCAAGGAAGTGGATGCGTGGTAAAGGGCGTGTTACTATACAATTTGGTTGCTGTTATAATTATGCAGTGGTAATGTATTAATCTTATCTCCTCGTTTATTTTGTTATTATTTCTCATTGATTATATTTGGGTTTATAATTCTTTCATTTACAGGACAAAAATGGAAATCCTCCAGGTATAATTAGAGATGAAGAAGTTGACCCCCTTCCTCATTTGTTCAAGGAAATGATCAAGAGGATGGTTAGGTGGCACGTCCTTCCTCCGACATGTGTACCAGACAGCTGCATTGTGAATATATATGATGAAGGGGATTGCATTCCTCCGCACATCGACCATCATGACTTCGTTCGACCTTTTTGCACTGTGTCGTTCTTGACTGAGTGCAATATACTCTTTGGAGCGAATCTGAAGATTTTTAGTCCAGGAGAATTTTCGGGTCCTGTCTCTATACCTTTACCTGTTGGGTATGCAAATCTCCTTTCTTCTTTTTCCTTGACATTCTCTTATCTCTTGACAGCGGAACACTGTAAAAACATAACCAGTGTAGGGGACATTAATTCATGCATCCATGTCTTTCCCACTTGAGATTAGTTTTCAACTGTAGTGTGATATGTCAAGGTAGCATTAAAAAATATTTTCAAGTAGATTGAAAAAGGAACGTTGATGGAAGTGAAGATCTAGAGTGAAATGAACGGTAGTTTTAGACATTCAAAGTGAATAATGTTCAGTATTTGGTAGACGGTGGATCATAACTTCTATTTGTGCAAATTCCTAGCATTAACTATGCACCGTTGATGATTTTTTATAGCATTTTCTTTATGTCTAAGTACTTTTTCCTGTGTAGACCTTGTAGTTCTCTTCAGAAGTAAAATATGTGAATTTAGCTGAACATCCACTTGGAAATTCTGGTCTAAGTGACAACATGCAGTGGCAGTAATTTTCTTGATCTCTTTTCAATCTGCTGCAATTGGAATTTATGGAAATGCAGTAATTTTTCGAAGATTTAGGAGCTTCCTGACCGTAATACATAAATGATTGGTATATCCGTGTCTCTGACTAGCCAATTGGGTGTATGAGTGGATTTTCTTGCCGACCTCTCTTGCCCTGATTATTTGTGGGTCTGATTAGCCAAGTGGGGGTACAGGTGGCCTAGCACAATACCAAGACATTTCACACATCGAGTTTTCGTGAGGCTACTAAGAGTGGGGGAAAGGACCGAAAGGCTAGGGGTGATCAAATATCCGATTACCCGTAATTTTCTACCCTATTCGACCCTATCCAACCCTCGGTTAACCAAAAAAATCGGGTAGGAGTACAGAAGATTTTTTGGTATTCCAATTAAATCGAGTAGGAATGCGGAATGCCCATCAAATTTCCGTATTCATACCCTACTCTACCCGCATATGTTTGATGTGTTTCATATGGTTTAAACCTAAAATAGTTGTTATTGTATTTGTTCAACAATTATGATGGATTGATGGTTATGCATTGGGCTTTCTTGTGTTTTATTGTAATTGTTTTAGATTTTAGTGTTATTGGTTTATTGTGTTGTTAAATTGATACATATTACTTAATTGAATTGTTAAAATGATCTAAAAATTAATAAATACAAAACGTGTTCACCCGACTTCTTACCCGATTAATTTGGATGGAAGTCGGATAGGAATACGACACTTGATCAGGTAGGGTACGCCAAGAAAAAAATTCTTCTATAAAGTATAGGGTAGGAAGATGGAAGACCATATTTCCTACCCGTAGCCATAGGTAGGGTGAACACCCCTACGAAAGGCCGTCTACGGCTAGCCCAACTTCGTGGGTTAGCCTTAGTAAACACAGATGGTGATAGATTTGGGCAGCAGTAGATAGGTCTGTGACACCGTGCTCATCTGGGAATGTGTGGTCTGAGATTCGGAATATATATTTAACTATGAGGAAACAGTGTAAGTTGGGGAAAAAATTGATGAAATGTACGAATTACTCTTAGGCTGCGTTTCTTAAAACATAAACAGTCGGTTATCAGAGGCGAAAGGTTGGAGTGAATGGAACTGTTTTACTACATTATAAGACAATGTTCATTTTTGATAGTTTCATGTTAGGAATTATGTATTTCTTTCCTTCTTGGGTTCCAGTTTTTGTTTCAATTGTTTAAACAGCTATCTACATAGTAAATCTCTATATGTGGTTGTTTTTAGCTCTACCCCATTATTGTTTATCACAATTCACTTTTGATATTTTTTCTTTACATCGTTCAGATCAGTGCTCATTCTAAGCGGTAAAGGTGCCAATGTAGCTAAACATTGTGTACCTGGCGTCCCAGGAAAAAGGTATATTCTTATTCTCTCTCCTGCATCATTCTTGAGAAAAAAATTGCTGTATCTTTTCCATACGAAAAATTCTCTCGTTGTCATTGATTTGTTTGGTGCAGGATTTCCATAACTTTCAGAAAAATGGATGACAGCAAGCGGCCATTTAAGTTTTCACCTGACCCTGAGCTTCAAGGTATAAAGCCTCTTGGCAATACTCCTTTGAACAGATCACTCGTCCAACAAAATCGACAGGAGAGTAAAACAGTCACTCGAAATGAAGCACCCATTTTACCAAAGGCAAGTAGCAAATCTTTTCTCATTGAGAAAGATGAGTTTCCTCCTCTCAAGAGCTTGAGTTCTGGTACCCGACGAAAAGGCTAACAAAATGGAGCATTGGATCTATGACATCATGTTGATTGGTTACGTTCAATCGACATTATTTGTGAAGATATTGAAATGATCTGTTTGTATGCAGAAATCGAATTTTGATAATATACCAATGTAATGTAGTTGCAGTTGATTTATATGTTTGATTTACTATGGCATTTGGTTAGGGGGAGAATGAACTTGCTTTTTTCTGTTTACTGGGCATCTGAGATGTCACAAAGTTGTTTCTAGTAACTACATTATTATCGAAAATAATTCACTGCCCAATTTGAAATGTACTTCTAAGTGTACAATGAGAATATATGTGGCTTCTATTTTTTTTTTTTTTTTTTTTTTTTTTTGGGGGGGGGGGTTGGTTGTTGAACATAGATACCATGATAAACAGGTGGGAAACGGGGTCGGGACGACTTAAAATGGGGTGGTTCATAATCTATTCCAATTGTAATTCAAATTTTAAAATAAATATTAGCTACCTATGTGTATATGAATGTATAACTAAATATAGTCTTTTATAATATAGAAAGCGATATGATAGAAAATAAATCGTAACTAATCTTATTTTCATGATATTGTATATCAAAAAAAATATCATGTTGTGTACTCCTACATACCAAATCTATTCATGATTCAGATAACATAGTTGTGGAAGTGGAGATTGGGGAAGGGGATGGGAACTAGATATTCTACAGTACTTTCATATCATCCCAGACAATGAGGCCACAAAAGAACTGATGATTTTTTTTTTCATGGTTTAATTTGTCCTAACAAACATTTTGCCTCCAAAAACTCCTTAATGTTTTAAAGTTGGATTGCTATTTGTTGAATTCTCTCTCTCTCTCTCAAGACTCTTTGATGTCAAAAAGGGTTTTGACAGGCTCCTGTATAAGAAACTTGATTTTGGTACTCTGTTGAATAACAGGACTGTTGTCTTAAAAATCCATGGGCCAACACTTGGTGATTTGAGTCATTTCAAACAAAAATAATACTGTTGTGGGTAATAGTTTTACTATTATTCATCTTTTTAGTATTACAATAGTGATAAAAATACTCACAACAATGATAAAACTATCCACAAATATAATAAATCTCGGTACGATATCAAAAATTTTATTTTCAGTACGATAAACTACTCCTAATCCAACATTGGCTTTTTGTTTACTTGCACGTCTGCAAATATTCTCTATCATCATTCCATAGAATTGACTGTCTCTAATTTATGATAATGCATAAATTAGTCTCATGCAAGATCAACAGTCGAGTATGTGAAGGAGTATAATTAATGGACAATAAATAAAACAATCAATGACAAAACAGTAAATATGGAGTCAATACAAAAATATATAATGGTTCGGTCCGGATAACTTATTCCACTCTCGAAAAACGATAGCGATGGCCAGAAGTCTTTATTAATGAATAAAGTAACCAGGAGAATATACTCCAGAAAAATTACAATGGTTAGGAGAGAGAAACTTTGTGCACAGGGAGGTGTTGTGAGGCAAAACTCAAGGTGTGTGTGCTATGTAGAGGTCTCAAAAAGTGTCTCTACTTGTGAAGAGAGCTTACATTATATATCTTTGGTGAGGCGGTGAGGTGAAGCGGTGAGGTGAAGCGGTGACGTGAGGGAGAGAGAGAGGGAGAGGGCACCATCTCTTTTGTAAGTACAATTTAAGTAGGATTGATTTTCATGAATGCATATCCCGATATTATCTTTTTCACATGTTTTTATCTTTCCAGTCTCCTTGGATCCTGGATTGGGTCGAATTGATAAAGTGGGTCTGGGCTGCCTTTTAGCTAACTTAGGCTTGCTTGATTAATTGGACTTGACCCACTTAAATTTGGGTTCATCAATTTAGGTCAATGATACATGAAATCATCTTTACTACCTTAAAACAATGAGAATAGAAAATGAAAAGGTACCCAACAAAATTAATGGTACAAAACTTCAATTTTTGTTTTTTGGTATCCTTAAAAGTAATATTTTCGGTTCAAAACATACGTTTATACGCACATCGTGCACTCCGATGCGAAAGCAATGATGGATCTAGAGAGAGGGCCGACCCTTAAAAGTTTGAAATTTTTTTCCCTATTCCACTACTATAAGCTACGAATACTTTCAAAATTTATAAACTCACCCCTCCCCACCCAATATAGACTTTTTCAAAATTATAAAATGCCCCCACTCCTTGTATACTTTCGCATATTTAGCTAGACTAAATTCCGGGATCCGTCTCTGTCTGTCCTCACTCATTAACACCTATGTATGGAATATTTTTTCATTAACTCCACACTCTGTAAATCTCATCAGCTTCAGTGCGTTTAATTAAATGCTTCCACATCCACACAACTTTCTAGCTAAAAACACCATTAAATTCGTCAGTTACATTTCTGTAACAAGTACTGATTCATATATAGAGTCCACATTCCAAAATTGAAAAGAGCAATAAATACATAATAAACACTTAACCATTGAAGCTGGTCACCATTTGGGTGCCCATTGTAATATGCAGATAGACTCGACTCTATCCAGGACTGGAACCGGGATTTTATCGTGAAAGGGTTAGACAATATCATGTTGAATAAATTTATTCAACAAGTTATCGTTATATACCTTCTTTTTTTTATAAATAATTTTATAGAACGTAACAAAAATCAATTCTCGTAAGAACGTACCATACGCTCAAAAAAAAATAGTTTGATTTATATAATTAAAGAAATATTCTTTTTTCTTACCAATTTAAGTTAGTTTGTAATAATGCTACTCTCCATTTATTCTCATATTAATGACATTATGTAAAGAATTTGAATTAGTTGGCATCGTAAATAATAGTTTCACATGATACTATAATAGAAATAAGTCATAAATCAGTGCATTACTTTTGATTCACAGTATTGCCTAAACCAACCAAAAGGTATGAATGAAGTGAAGGATCAAATGATGAAAATCGCCTGTGTAGTGTCGTCCTGCTCGAGCTGGTTCAGACGTCAAACAAAAGGCGAGATGAAAATCGCATGTCTTGAGTTTGAGATTCATTGATCGCATATAACTCGAGTTTAACCAATGTATGTCTTTTTTGTGGGGTGATTGCAGACATTCAATGTTTGTGTTACATTCATAAATCAAACAAACGTGTAATTGAAACGATTTTCCATTACTAAATTAATACATTAAGTTAGACAATAATGCTGGCTGGCCCTGAGGTACAAATTACATAGCTTTTATTATCTCTATGGAGTCAAACATGTGGAAATTGTGAATTAATTAAGAGGAGAGGAAGATGAAGAAGGATGGGAGACAAGTACACAAAAACACAGTTTTTTTTGGAGTGTAGTAATAGAAGAAATCAGACTATAGGAAGGTGAAGCTAATGCTGTGTAAATAAAGGTATTTGGATATAATAAGCTGGCTTAATTTTATTACTAAGTTAATCCACTACTATTTCTTTTTTTGGGTGAGTAGAATAATTGTATTAATATAAAATCCATAGACAATATTGTTAGAATGACAATATTAATTGTTGTTTTTTTTTTTTGGCTCGTGAAAAAAAGGGGTGGGAACAAAGAAGAGCGCCTAACGACCACCCCGTTAGACCCTTATCAGTGGGATCATAAGGCCCCTGACTGCACTTAAAACACCTTTCGGGACCAGACCTAGTTAGGTTAGTATAGTGGCCAACTACCGAACCCAAATGGACAATATTAATTTTTGTTTGTCAATCTTGTCCATAACCTTATTCATAACTTGAGATACCAGTAATGAATTGATAAGAGTTAATCATCTATTTGGTCCCGAAATTATTTCATTTGTGTGAATCAAGTCCCTAAACTATGTTTTGTATCAATTTAGCCATGAACTATGCAATATGACTAAATGTGACCTTTTCGTCCAAATTCACAGTTAACTTTTATAGAAATCTTCACATGCATGTCATGTGAATTACTGATTAAGGTATAGTTCAAAAGTCACGTGTTGTGCACATGAAAATTTGTAGAAGTAAGCAATGAAGTTAGATGGAAAGGCCACATTGAAGTAGATTGTATCGTCTTCGGGTTAAATTGACACACAACATAGTTAAAGGACTTAATTGACACAAATGATATAATATAGGGATCAAATAGATAGTTAACTCAATAATACATAATAAACACCACCAACAGGATTAGAAAGTAAACGTAAATTTTATCAATTTGCTTCTATTAACCAAAAATTGTTGTTAGATTGGCACCAAATTTCATACAATATTGAGATTCACTTGTTCAAGGACAACATAGTCAAATGCAGGTCCAGCTGCCAATTCCATTTGTGGTGTTTATAATCCATTTATTATTGGTATCTAATGTTATGAATATGATAGTGGAACCAAAAAATATATTTTGTTTTTTTTTTTTACTATTAGACGAGAGACGAAGATCTTGCTTTGATTTATTTAAGAATGATGTTCTAAAACTAATTAAAAACAAAATGAAATAATAAAATTTGAAAGTTTTACACATTTTACCATATTGTTTAACAAAAAAGTTATGCAAAAATAACTTTTGGTAAAAGATAGCTTCCTAAAATAAGAGCGAGAAAGAAATCTTAATCATTGGTGACCGACTTTTGTAAAAGCACCTTTGGGCGATAGTTGATCGAGAAACTAGCTCGTTGATTGAGAAACACCATGAGCAACAGGATATTGAAGTCTGAAATTCGAAGTAAAATTTTTGATTTGTCTGTCCCTAGTGGTTAAGGAAAATAAAGGGACCCTTGTAGGTTATATCTAAATGTGTGAATACTGAATCTTGTGTGATTAATCTATTCCCGAGAGAGAGAGAGGAACTTTGAACTACTGGTAAACGAGAAAGAGAGAAAGAGTCGAGAGACTAGGCTTAATAGGGATGTTGTTCACAAACCCTAGATGCCTAGAAACCTGAACAGATCAAACAAACAGAATTTCAAGCTTGAGTTTCCATATAACCCTTCTCTTGTTTACTCATCATCATCATTTGACTCATTAATGGGAAATTAAAGAGTCTTCTTTTGGGAAAAAAAGAACTCAGTCACAGCCATTCTAAGGGGAAAGACTGAAAAAAAGAGAGAGAAGTAAACATAAGGTCAACATACAAAATTGTAACTTTACAGAGTCAAATGCATCAAAAGATGGTATTTGGCACAGACTTCATGCAACCAAAGTAGAATTCACCTTATCATCAGTACCATGATCTCCCCCTCTCTCTCTCTCTCTCTCTCTCACACACACACACACAAATCCACATAGATCCGAGGGGATTTTGTTTTGGGGAGGAGGGG